ATCCCCACGTACTTCCGGAACTTGGTTGGTGTCGGCTGTCTTCAGGACCTCGGCGTCACCACTATGTTCCCAGGTCACGAGCGGTACGCCGTCTGTACCGAGGCTGCCTCAAGTTCCACCCTTGCAACGTTCCCTTGAGATCCGATGTCTGGCTTCTTTACACTAGACACTGCTTCCCCCCCGGGTGGACCGTCCCTCCAAGGTGTTGCGTCTACCTAGGTCGCCGCTGCGTGCTCGTGTCGGTCGCTCATTCACCCGTCGCTCCTGTGGCACCACCACCTAGGTCACCCTGCGCTCCCATGTCTGCGTCACATGTCCCTGCACGGTCTTGTCCTAGGTCTCCCTGCGTCGCTTCCTGCCCTCCCTCCCTCGCTTGCGCCGTCGTGCACGCTTTGCGTCGAGGTTCGGCTGCGCTGTGCTCCTCACTCCTCCTCGCTTCGTCCTGCCATCGCACCCCTTCAGACCCTGCACCTGGACGTCTGGGGCCCAGCCCCCGTCTCTGGACAGCGTCGCGAGCGCTACTTTCTAGAGCTCGTGGACGACTATACGCGCTACACCACGGTGTTTCCCTTGGAGCGAAAGGCCGACGTGCCTGACATTCTCTTCTCGTGGATAGCGCGTGCCACTACCCACGGGATGAGAATGTCATGCACGTCAGCCTTCTTCTCCAAGGGAAACACCGTGGTGTAGCGCATGTAGTCGTCCACGAGCACTAGAAAGTAGCGCTCTCGACGTAGTCCGGGGATGGGGGCTAGGGGCAGACAGAGCTCAAGGGGTCGGCAAGGCGCTTAGGGGCAGGCGGGGCGCTAAAGGGGGGGTCCCAGCGGGGGGCGTAGGGCCAGCGGGGCGATAAGGGGCCAGCGTGGCGCTAAGGGCCGGCGGGGCGCAGGAGGGTGTCAACTTATACATATCTTAGTATGTAGAAGTTATAGGCTAGATAGGTATATGTTCTTAGAGAGTACAACTCCAACCCTATATTTCCCTTGTTCACCCTTGTTTCTAGTTATTCGTGTATTCTAACATGGTATCATGAGCAGGTTAGGTCCCCCACACGCTTCCGCCCCGCGCCCTAGCCTATCGCCCCTAGCCGGCCCCTCGCGCCGTCGCTGGCCCCTCGCGCCCTAGTCGGCCCCTCGCGCCCTAGTCGGCCCTGCGCGCCCAGGCGGCCCCTTGCGCCTTCGTCGACCCCTTCGCGCCCCAGCCGGCCCCTCGCCCCCTACTTGGCCCCTTCGCGCCCTAGCCAGCCCCTCGCGCCCATCTGGCCCCGCGCGCCTAGCCGGCTCCTCGCGCCCCAGTCGGCCCTCCGCGCGCCCTGCTGGCCCCTCGTGCCCTAGTCGACCCCTCGCCCCCTAGTCGGCCCCTCGCGCCCAAGTCGGCCCTGCGCGCCCAGCCGGACCCTCGCGCCCTAGTCGGCCCCACGCGCCCAGGCGGCCCCTCGCGCCCTCTTTGGCCCCTTCGCGCCCCAGCCGGCCCCTCGCGCCCTAGTCGGCCCCTTTGCGCCCTAGTCGCCCCCCCCCCTCACGCCCTAGCCGGCCCCTCGCGCCCATCCGGCCCTGCGCGTCCAGCCTGGACCCCCTCGCGCCCTAGTTCGCCCCTCGCGCCCTAGTCGGCCCCGCACGCCCAGCCGCCTCCCCCCTCACACCCTAGCCGGCCCCCTTTGCGCCCTAGCCAGCCCCTCGTGCCCTAGCCGCCCCCCCCCCCCCCTCGTGCCCTAGCCGGCCCCTCGCGCCCTACCCGACCCCTTGCGCCCTTGCCGGCCCCTTGTGCCTAGCCGGCCTCTACCAGCTGTCCGGCCCCTCGTGCGCCTCGGCCCTTCTTTCACGCCCTCCGACTCCTCGTGCGCCCTGTTCCTGCTCTGGCGCGTCCTGCTGCCACGTCGCTGTACCGCCGTGCAGCTGAGTCCCTGTGTCCCTGGGCCGTTGTGTCGCTGTGCTGCTGAGCCGCTGTGTCATCATGCCGCTGTGTCCCAGTGCCGCCACACTTTCGCGATGGCGGACGCCATGCTACGTCTGGACGCCGAGGGGCTCGCGATCGACTTTGCCGCCTGGCTTGTCGATCTTCGCCGGCACCTAACAGGTCAGCGCCAGGATAGGCAATCCCTGGCTATGCATGTTGATGGCTTGCTTCCCTGCCCCTCCGTGCCTGATCCCCTCTCTGCTGAGAGTGAGGCCTTTGCTGCTGCGGTGCTGTAGCGCACCTTGCCATTAGCCATGCACTTCCCCTCTCTGAGCGCCTGCATTTCACTGCTGTCGCAAACGCCAAAGATTTCTTCGATGCAGTAGTTGCCTGCTACTCCACGCCTGCCTCTGCCTCAGCTGGACACTTGATCCTCCCGATGCTCTTCCCCGATCTCTCTGCTTTCCCCACTGTCGCTGATCTCCTCACTCACCTTCGTGCACTAGAGACTAGCTATCGCGCAGCTAGCATTACTGCCCAGCTCACTGCCTTCTCCCCCCCGTTCTACGCTACCCTGTATCTTATTGCCATGCGTCTACCTGACCGCATAGCCACTGCCCGCGACCACTTCCTTAGCCAGCACCCTGGTGACCTCACCCTGACCGCTTATGCCACTGCCCTTGCTGAGATAGACTCGCCATCGCGCTATCGCTCAGTCGAGCGGTGTTGCGGCAGGTTCTATCTTTCAGGGTTGTGCTCCCTCCCAGTGCATGTACACTGATGTTTCTGCTGTGGTCGCTGCAGCTGCTCCTGTCGCAAAGACCGCGACGGCGGCCTTTCCGCAGCAGCAGCGACAGCGTCGCAGCCGTCGCGTCCCCAAGGGAGGGCGTGGTGGTGGTGGCGCCGACAGTGGTTCTGACGAGGGGGCTGGGGCAGGCGTCCAAGAGCAGCAGCAGTCGCACCAATCCCCGCAGAAGCCACCACAGCAGCAGCAGCGGCAGCCGCAGCCGCCGCAGCAGCAGCAGCAGTAGCAGCCGTGGGCCCGCCTCCCACCGGGGTGACCGGGAGCCTCTGGAGGGGGTGGCCGCGGTGGCGGTCCTCGCAGCTGGGCGTCTACAGGCAGCCTCAGTGCTGTGGGCTGCCAGTGCCAGCTCCAGACCGGGCCCTTTCGTGGCACTGTGTGCCGCCGTCTGCACCCGACCGCCCGCTGCTTCCGCCACCTCGACGACCTCTTTCGTCGCCGCTTCGGCCTGTCCCCAGACCTCCCTAACTTGCCCAGCCCGCTGCGCAACGATGTGCCTGTTTTTTACTTAAACATGGATCAGATTAGTTTTGCCTGCTCCCCACGCTTCCGCCGCGCACTCCTCCTCTCCCTCTCGCGCTGCCATGGCGGCCGCGTCGTGCTGCTGTGGCGGCGTCGTCGTGCCGCCGGCCGCGCCGTCCTGCCGCGGCCGTCTCGACGCGCTGCCGTGGTGTCGCGCTGTCGTGGCGTCGATGTCCAGCTGCGGCGGCATCGTCGACGTCAGCCGTGGCGGCGTAACGATGCCGTCGTGCTGCCGTCACAGCATCGACGTATCGCCGCGGCATCGACGCCGCGCTGTGGAGGCGGCGTTATGCTGCAATGGTAGCGTCGACGGGCGGCAGCGGGCCGCGTGACGTCTTAGGCGCTGCCGGTCATGACGCCCGCACGCCAGCCACGGGCGTGTTGCAGAAGCCCTGCCCCCCTTCTCTACGTTCCCTCTTCCTCGCCGCAGCCGATGGCTGACTCCCGCTGGCTGTCCCACCGCCGCGGAGCCCGGCCGAGTGTTGCGAGCCCTCCCATCGCCGCCGCCACCGTTGTAGAAGCCGCCGCTTGCGTTGGGGCCACGCCGTCGCACGCCGCCGCCGCCGCCGCTGTCGACGCTGCCGCCACTGCCGTCGTCGCCGCCGCAGCCCTTGCTGTCGACGTCGCCGCCTCACGCACCGAGGGGTTGACCGGGCTGGTGTAAGCGTCGCTGCTACTGAGTATGGCGGTGCTAGATTTAGGGGGTGTGTGTGACTTAGTGTCCCGTTTGTGGAATGCTTTCGGCTACCAAGCCTAGGGGGAGTGTTAAATTATATCTTTGATATATAAATGGTAGGCTTGGTAGGTGTTACTAAAAGCTACTGTAGAGGGTGTAATCCCCCCTCCTTGTATCCCTCTCTCTTCTATTCTCGATCACTTTTCCCTCGTAAACTTCCCCTCCTAGTTAAACCCTCACGCCATTCCATGGCCGTCTATCGTTCGTAGCATTCGTTAACTTTGATAGTTGTGGGGGAAATGTTTATAGCCGCCAGGGACTTAGTCGGAATCTCAGAGTTTCGGTACCAGGGTAGTTTTCAGGACACCCTGAAGGGTCAGGGTGCGGGGCCCCGCAACCCTGTTCTCGTGAGGGTAATATTTTCGTAACACTTTTTGGATCAGGGTAATAAATTCTGTAAGTCTGATTTTTAAGATCAAAAGAAAAAGTGCCCTGGAAAATCAGGGAAATCAGGGCATTTTACCCGGCTAATTTGGGGCCTGGCTTAATTCTTCTTGGTGTTGTAAATATCTTTAGTAGTGCATTAATGGTATATGAGTACACCATTTGCCTTAATGGTATATATTGGTTGTCATTAATGGTATGGTCTATGTCGTGATAACTGTCTTCGACGAACTCGTACTGTAGCGCAGTCAGTCAGCCCTAGAGCTTCTCATGGAATTCCCAGAGCTGCCTCCATTCCCAGCCGCATTTGGTGTTCCACTTCCAGCGGAGAACGAATTGGAGCGTATATGTGGATTCCACGAGCCGCGCTTCGCTGGCCCTCGGTATTGTTTGCAAATGAGGCCAGATCCTCCATCCGAAACGCAAGCAGTGCTCGAGGGCCAAGGGAGCGCGCCGAGGCGGGAGGTCGCATTCTCGTCTCGCCCCGCAAGCCAGACCCAATCCCCGAGGGCGCCTCTCGCTTCCACACCGCTCGCCCTCGATGTCCGCCTGGGCTCGCCTCGGAGGCGGATCTCGCCTGTGCCGCTGCTGCCAGTCGCTCCCGCCGAGGAAGAATAAATTGGCTGCTGCTCGTCAGTCCACGGACTCTAACTGGGACTCGAGATTCGTCGAGATTTGAAAAGCCCAATCAGTGCGCGAGTAGCCATGGCCGGAGGCGTGGTGGTGCCAGTGGGGTCGGGCGGTGAGCAGTTCGGTGGGCGCGTGACGGCGTTCGTCATCCTCTCCAGCCTCGTGGCGGCCAGCGGGGGGCTGCTCTTCGGCTATGACATCGGCATCACAGGTGCGACTCCAACGCCCGCGAAACCACTCATTCCTTTCCAGCGTAACCTTACTTCAACACCTGTCTGACGACGCGGCCCACGGTGCGTGTGCGTGCAGGGGGCGTGACGAACATGGACGGCTTCCTGGAGGCGTTCTTCCCGGCGGTGCTGGAGAATAAGCAATCAGCGCGCGAGAGCTCGTGGTGCAAGTTCGACTCGCAGCTGCTGCAGCTCTTCACCTCATCGCTCTTCCTCGCCGGCATCGTCGGCGGCCTCATCGCCTCCTTCACCACGTCGCGCTTCGGCCGCGTGCGCACCATGCTGGTGGGCGGCGTCTTCTTCCTGCTGGGCGCGGCGCTTACGGGAGGCGCCGTCAACATCGAGATGCTCGTGCTCGGCCGCGTGCTGCTGGGGCTCGGCGTCGGCTCCGCCAATCAGGTACCATCATTATCGCAGTCCTGGATCTTGGCTCGACTCGCTGACATGCCATTCGTCACTCACGCCGCGAACCTCGCTCTCTGCGCAGGCCGTGCCTCTGTATCTCTCGGAGATGGCCCCGGCGCAGCTGCGCGGCGCGCTGAACATGATGTTTCAGATGGCGACGACGCTGGGCATCGTGGCAGGCCAGCTCATCAACTATGGCACGGCGCACCTTCACCCCTGGGGCTGGCGCCTCTCGCTCGCGCTCGCCGCCGTGCCCGCGGCCGTGCTGACGGCGGGCGGCGTGTTCCTGCCCGACACGCCCAACAGCCTGGTGGAGCGCGGCCGCCACATTCGCGCCCGCCACGTGCTGCAGCGCATTCGCGGTGCTGAGGTGGACGTGCAGGTGAGCAGCACCGCGAATCGCCTCAGATAAGGATTGAAGCTTGCGTTCATTGGCGCGAGGCACTAACGGTGTGACGCAGCGCGCTGTGGTGCGTGCAGGCGGAGTTCGACGAGATTCGGCGGGCGAGCGATGCGGCCAAGGCGGTGAAGGCGCCGTTCCTCGCCATCTTCCGCCGCAAGTACCGCCCCGAGCTCACCTGGGCCATCCTGTGAGTTCTCCACACTCCCTTTCACTAAAGCGCTTGCTGCTGTGCCGTGACGTTGACGAGCGCGCTAACCGTGTGGCGGGGCGTGGGCGGGGCGCGGCAGGATCCCGGTGTTCCAGCAGCTGACGGGCATCAACGCCATAATGTTCTACGTCACGCCGCTCTTCCAGTCGCTGGGCTTCGGCGACAGCGCGTCGCTACTCACCACCGTCATCACGGGCGCCGTCAACGTCGCCGCCACGCTGCTCTCCATCCTCACCGTCGACCGCGTCGGCCGCAAGGCGCTCTTCCTCGCAGGCGGCCTTCAGATGCTCGCGGCGCAGGTCGCCATCGGCGCGCTGCTCGGCACGACGTTTGCGAGCGGCACGGGCGGGCTGTCGAGCGGGTACGCGACGGCCGTGGTGGTGATGATCTGCGTGTACGTGGCGGGGTTCGCGTGGTCGTGGGGGCCGCTCGGGTGGCTGGTGCCGTCGGAGATCCAGCCGCTGGAGACGCGGTCGGCGGGGCAGAGCATCACGGTGGCCGTCAACTTCGCCTTCACCTTCGCCGTGGGGCAGGCCTTCCTCTCCATGCTCTGCCACTTCAAGTGAGCCGCGCCCGCCGCTGCACGCACGCTGCTCTCGCGTTGCGCTGCGACGGGGTGCGACGGGAGTGACTGGGATGTCTGTGCTGATGGGGGTCGTGCTTGCCTTGTCGTCTGTGCGCAGGTTTGGAATATTCCTCTTCTTCGCGGCGTGGGTGGTGGTGATGACGCTGTGCGTGCTGCTCTTCCTGCCCGAGACCAAGGGCGTACACATCGACGACATGGCGGCCGTGTGGCAGCGCCACTGGTTCTGGAAGAGAGTAGTGCCCGCTGCCGCACACGAGCGCGCACACGACAGCAAGGGAGAACAAGGCGGGAAGGGGGAGGGTGGATCTGCTGACAGCAGTGGCGGCATGGAGGAAAAGGCTGTGGTATCAGGCGTTTGACGCGCGCCACCACATGCTGGCGCGAGATGCCATATCACCCTACTGTGCTCCAAAACACGTTGGTCACTTCCAATCATGATTAACTAGAGAGCCATAATGAATACCTATGCCATGACAATTCCCAGACCAATTAATGGTTAGGGCCAGAGCAACTTATACATCAGAGTAATGGCGCCTGCTTCAACGGCAGGTGGTTCCCAGGTTGTGGAGTACAGCCTATGCTTATGATGCACCGCCTAAGCACTCTGAAGCAACATAGCCTGACAGACATGCAGTGAGCAGCACATGCGCAACTCACAAGATGAGCTGTGATGTGAATATGGTGGAAGGCAAACGAGGCAGTGCCATGCCATGGATGGGGGAAACTACGGTAGAACCAGAGCAGGGCTGTTACTGATGCAGATGTGGAAGAGTTGTGTGGCATGCTGTAGGAGGGGACGGCTGAAGCGGGACGTAATGATGCAGTGCAGCCCAGGGTGAGCAGGGCAGGATGGCAGGGTGCTCTCGTGGAGACGACACGGCACAAAACGGTGGACGAGAAGGTGATCTGGCACTAACAAGCACACGCATACACATGCGCTATCATGACGGGCCACGATTGCTCAGAAGAGAGATGTGCTCTTGCCCTTCTTGTCCCCTCCAATCTCGAAGTGCTTGCAACGCTGCACAGAGAAAGTCGAAAATAAGACATTGAGAGAGAGAGAGAGAGAGAGAGAGAGAGAGAGAGAGAGAGAGAGAGAGAGAGAGAGAGAGAGAGAGAGAGAGAAAGAGAGAGAGAGAGAGAGAGAGAGGGAGAGAGAGAGAGAGAGAGAGAGGGGGGGGGGGGCAAGGGAGAGAGGGGGAGAGAGGAAGATGAGAGAGTGGGGGTTTGGGAGGCAGAAAGGGAGGGAGGGTACGGGAGTCCACGAAGGCAGTGGGAAGGGAGTGAGGGAAAATTCAGGTGGTAGCTGATATAACCTCGCATCGACTCCAGATGCACCATGAATCGCTGCCGGAGTGTCACCACAAGGAGTAACGCAACCAGCCACGACAATCACCCAGTGACCCTGGCCGCGCTTCCTTCACTCACGCTGCGGCTTGCTACGCTAGCCCAGAACAGCACCTTCTCTCCCCCGCACACCTCCCAGCCGCCACCCTCATTCAACCGTCATCCCCCAACCACCTCGCCCCGCCACACCCTCCTCTTCCTCCACACCCAGAAGCGAGTGGGTGGAGGGTCCCCGTGGGTGCTGACCTTGATGGGCGTCTGGTGCATGTGCTTGCACGACTGGCACTGCAGCCTCAGCACGATCTTCTTTGTGGTCTTCGCCTGCACGCCACACACGAGCACGCGCGCCACACACGAGCACGCGCGCGACACACGAGCACGCGCGCCACACACGAGCACGCCCCGCACAGGCAGGGAAATGAGCAGACCAACGCGCGGAGGGGAGGGGGGGGGAGGGAAGAGAGGAGGAGCGCAGGGAGAGGGGGCAGACATGCACATGCGATGGGGAGGACAGGAAAGAGCGGCAGCAGAGCACAACACGCCAGCACGTGCGCGCACGCACCAACGAGCCCCCATCCGCCCCCATTTCCCCTCCTCCCCCCTCTGCCTGCATCCCCCCTCCCATTCTCCTTCCCCTCGCTCGCCCGTCCCTTCCCCCTCCCTCCACCCATCCCCGCGGCGGTGCCCCTCGCGCCGTGGTTCCCCGCGCACCTTCTTGTGGAACACGGGCTTCGTCTGCCCTCCGTACCCCGACTGCTTGCGGTCGTACCGCCGCTTCCCTGCGCGCGCGAGGGAGAGCGGAGTCGAAGGGAGGGGGCGGCACAGAAGGAAAAGTAGGGCGCTACGAAAATAACGAAAGAGACGGGGGCAGGAAGTGTGATCACCCAAGCAGCGCGAATCGAAAGGGGAAGAGGGGACGGACAGTGGAGGGTGGACGAAGTGGATGGAGGAGTGAGTTGCGCAAGCAAGCCGGAGCGATGTACGCAGCAGGAGCACGACGTGCATGATGTGAGCGCGGAGCGCGCGACGCACCCTGCGCGTAGACGCTGTCCTTGCCCTTCTTGTACTGCGTGACCTTGTGCGTCGTGTGCTTCTTGCACTTGCCGCCACAGTACGTCTTCTTCGTCTTCGGCACGTTCACCTGTCGCCCACGCACGCGCCGAGAGGACGGGGAGGGACGAGGGGAGGGAGAGGCAGAGGGAGAGCGGAGCCCCATCATGCATTCCCGAGACGTACGGTCGTGCGATAACGTGCCGCATCAATGGACGATGCGACGACCCGAACTAGAATACGACGGCGCTACAGGAAAGCAGCGGGCGGCCATGGAAGAAGCGCATGTCAGAGCAGTCGAGTCCCAGCAGCTCGTCGTGCCTTGCCGTCAAACGAGCTCGACGCCATCTGGCGAGCGCGGCGCACTAGCAGGCATGGGCCCTGCCGGACAGGACGGAGCAGCGTCGATTCAAATTACTGCTTCCTGCTTCCAGACGCTTAATGGAAGTGAAACGAACCATTTGACGACGAGCGGGTAAACATCCCTGGGTTCGCGAGCTGTAGGCACGAAGAGAATGGAGCTAAGCGTGCGAATTGACGATAAATGGAGGATGCTGGGAAATCTAAACAGCCGTGTTGCTACCAACACGGATGAGAGCATTCGTCAGGCGCTCACGCGGCCACCCACTTAGTGAATATTAACCCCCATTCGCTGTATTGGAAGCGGACTCCCGGATTCAGTAACAACTAGGGGCGCACCACCCAGACTCACCATGGCTGCGCAGTCGCTCAGGACGAGGGGAGAGGAGAGGATTGGGGACCAGGAAGAAAAACGTGAGCGAGATGTAGCAGTGAAAGCAGGGAAACACAGTAAAGACGGGGAGAAGGAGCGATTAGGGTTGCCGAATCGGATGCGGGAGGGGAGGCAGGGAGACGCATGTGGGCGGAAGGGCTGCGGCAATGCGCCGCGGAGATTTGACTTGGGTGATGAAGGGAGGCGGTGTGGAGCGGTGTGGTAAGCCACCAAATATAGGCAGAGAATTACCTTGAAGTTGTAAGGAAATGGTATTTTCTTATCACGGGTTTTAGTTAGTAAAGCGTACACCGCAATAACGGGGTTGCCGAGCAGCTCTGCCACGAAATTCAAATCGCGGTACCCAAATGTGGCATCCTGACGAGCCACACGCATTTTCCCCGCCTTGCTATTGTTGTGATAAAATCGTACTAAGCATTTCTGTAAGTAGTTCTGATAGATATTGTCGAGTTACACTGTAGTTACCATCCGTAGAATGACGCTAGCAAATAGCGGTCGTCTAATTGATTACGTCAGCAAGCCGTTTCAGTCACGCGAACAGTCGCGCTCTTTTCAGTAGCGGTTAGAGCACATAGCGCAAATAGCTCGAACAAGTACATCCCCGAATAGGTAGTTCTAGCAGATATAAAAATACCTTGTACAACTTCAATTGTTAACTTGTTCTTCAGTAAATTCTGGTCAACACTTTACAAGTTCTAAGACTTCCGCTGTCTTACTAGTCTACCATTCCAGCAAATATCATTGGTTAAGTCTTGAAGTATCGCAAGGCTGTAACACTGACTCTAGTGTTACAACTTGTTAATACTGGCTGTTACTGGAGGTACTTCCAGTATTACTTTCTACTTCAAGTGCTTGTGTCTGCAGATTCTATACTTAGTCTCCTGCACCACCTTTCAAATTCTTTCATGGTATGAGAGCTGTCTGGAATCAAGACTATCGTCAATTCGACTATCGTCAATTTTACAAATGACTGGACCATCACCATCTCCAACGTCTGCTTCTTCAACAACTGGACCCACGGGTAAAACAAATCCTACAGTCTTCACTGGCCAAGCAGGTGACTCAGCAGCTGGAAATTTTCCACCTGCTTATCCTTCTATTGGGATGCCGCAATAGCAGCAAGGTTTGCCTATTGTGCATCCACCGGGGACTTCGTCCTCTGCACCTGTAATATCACAGCAACAAGCAGCAGCATCTGTAACAACGGCTTTCAGTGGTATGAGCATTGATGGTTCCAGCTATGCAAGAGCTGCAGCCGCTCCAAGCTCCAATTCTTCGTTTGCGTTTACACCTGCTCAACATCAACAATTTCAATTTCTTCAACAACAGCGGCAAGCGCAACAACAGTTTAAGCAACAACAGCAACATCAGCAGCGATAACAGCAACCGCAACAGCAGCTTCCACAGGAGCATATTTCTTTTATTTGCCCTGTTTTTCAGGCTCCGAACCTTTTAAGCAATACACAGATCAAAACAACTATACCTTTTAATGACGCTGACTTCTACACTTGGAGTTTCGAATTCGAGCTCCTCACGAAATCCGCTGGATTGTGGCCGCTCTTCAGTGGCGATTATTCATATCCTGTTACGGGAACACAGATGGAACAACAGAGTTTTATTTATGCTTCACTCAGCGCTTACACCGTCCTTATCCGCAATCTGTCGCTGAAAGAGCAGCTCGGTATACGCTCTCTTCACACCAGTTTGACTCCAGCAGAATCTGCGTGGAAGCATTTGAAGGGATTATACATGGCACATGATACAATTTCAGTGAGTAAAATTCTTTCACAACTAACAACTGTACAGATGCAGGGCAACGAGAACGTTTCGGATTATATCAACAGGGCTCGAACACTTCATGACCAATTGGAAAAGTGCGGCGGATACTTCCCAAAGGACATGTTTGTAACAATCCTTTTTGTCGGTCTTGGAGCAGAATGGCGGCATTGTCGCTCTCTTCTTCGTCTTCAACCAAATCTTTCGGAAACAGAAATCTGCTCGATCCTTCAAGCAGAGCTGCAAGATATGGACCTGCAGACAGCACGTAACAATAGGGGAGGAGTTAACATCAGTTTTCATTCAACGCCCACGAAGCGTGTCAACAAGTTCTTCTGTCACTACTGCAAAAAGGATGGACATAGCATAAAATTTCATCGAGCAAACTGAGAACATGATTTTACCTCAAGTATATGCTAATCTTGCTCGAGTTATCGCAGGACCAAACACTTGGTATCTTGACAGTTGTTGTGGACAACACATGTGCTCTGCCGAGACGCTCTTCATTACTCATCAGCGTCTGCTTCAACGTCCAGTACCTGTCACAGTTGCAAATGGACAAACCATTATGGCAAGGTCAATCGGCAGCGTCATGTTGGATTCCGTGGACACTGGTTTTTACTTACACGTTACGAATGTCCTTATCATCGCTGGACTTGGCTTTAATTTTCTTTCAACAGCTCAACTCCTGCGACATAAGATCAGGACACAAGGCAACTGTGAGACAATGGACCAGGAACTTTATCATAATGATACAAATACTTACATCGGGAGAGCCGCCATTCAGTATGGGGTATCCGTTCTTCAATTCGAGTCGCAAGGGACTTCTGGCTCTTCTGAAAGAGTCTTATCACTTGGGCCTTGGCAACATCTCGAAGAAACTGATTTTCAGAACGTTGACATAGACTTCCGTGCAACTGTATTCCCAACAGGATCTCGTACAGCAGCAGCAGCAATTATAACGGCTCTCAAACCTACAGTACCTTGGGGACAAAGAACCAGCAGTGAAGCAAAGGAAGCAGAGCAGCAGAGTAGCGGTGAAGCAGAAACATGGGTTCTTGTCGGTCAACCTGCATAAGATTCAACAGGAACAGAAATTGAGGAAGGGAAATTAGTTCTTCAACCGGAAGAAGTTCTCAATGTGGAAATTACAACCACGAAGTTACCTCTTACTCGCTTCGTTCCTGACCAACTTGACGAATCACCAACGTTTTCTCCTTTCATCGTTTCTTCATTTTATACTAACGCTGATTTTTATCAGCGATCAACAGGACACAAAGCAACAGAAGATATGTGGCATCAAAGGTTAGGACATCCTTCACTGAGAATACTTAATCATACTATCCGAGCTTCAGTTCTTGACAAAAACGGTTTACTCTTACCGGATGGAACTGAGATGAAGCTGTCGTCAAGACCAGCAGTCTGCACCACGTGCACAATGGCAAATCTTCCGCACGAACCCTTTCCAAGTCACTTTCCGGGTTCAACTCGATACACACTTATGCAGAAAGCTTATTGCGACATCCTCAACTTACCTGAAGCAGGACCTAAGGGGGAGTTGTATATGATCTCTTTCATAGAGGCTTCTACTCGATATGTCTAGACGGCGAACATCCCAGCTCGGCATATGGCTCACTCTATCTTTGTCACGTGGCTCGCAGTGGCTGAAAGAGAATCGGGGGAAAAGTTACAGGAGTTTCAGAGTGACGGAGCAGGAGAGTCCACGAAAACGAACTTTACCGACTACCTTCAAACCCTCGGCATCAAGTGCAGAACGTCTCTGCCGCATCAGCATCAACAAATGGGGGTGGCAGAAAGGATGAACAGGACATTGCAAGAGAAGATGCAAGTCTTGCTGACTCAGGCAGCATTGCACCCACATTTTTGGACTTACGCTTTGGACCATGCAGTTCTTCTGCACAATTTGCTGTCGACAACTTCACTTCCGCAAATTTCTTCGCCAAACCTACAGTGGACAAAAAGCGTCGGCAACACCAAAATTTTAAGAGTTTCGGGTGCATCGTTCAACATCGACCTCCGACAGCAGCACTTGGAAAATTTTCAGAACGGGCTAAGTGGGGGATACATCTTGGCATCGAGAAGCAGTTTTACGCGTGGAAAATTATGGATCTCCGCACGAGTCAAATTGTACCAGCACGTGATTGTGTTTTCTACAAACGACTCACCTTATTTATTTTTCGTGCTCACCAGGCTGCAGCAGCCAATCCTGCCAGACTATTCGAAGGATCGCGTGCCTTCGCTTCCGATGACGCCGAAGCAGATGTACAGGATGAGTCCGTGGCTGAGTCCTTCAAAGCTGCCACAGACGTCCCCATGCCAACCACGTCAGCCGGAACTACTGAATTTATCCCATTCAGCGAAGCAGACTCAGAGGATGTTCGCAATGTGGTTCTTGATTACGAACGCGATCGTCAGCAGCAGCCCATGCCAGTTGTCTCCGAAGCAGCGATCCGTGTAACACCTGAAGAAGTTGGGGGGGAACAGGGGTCAGAACACAACTTCTCCGGTGTCAACTCAAATCGTCCGCGTTTTACAGAAACTGGTTTACAAGTATTGGGACTTGCAGTCGCAGTACATGCAAACATCAGTAATATTTTGGAGCCGAAAACAGTTCGTCAAGCTTTGACAAGTCAACGCCGAGAGAAATGGTGCGAAGCCATGAACCGAGAGTTAGCAGCCCTGGAAAATAGAGGTACCTGGGATTTAATCCAGCTGTCAGCAAGTAAGGGGAGTAGAGTTCTTACCGGAAAATGGGTTTTCCGCGTGAAGACAAATGCCGATGGTTTCTTCGAAAAGTTCAAGGCGCGATGGGTTGTCCGTGGCTTCGAGCAAATATTTGGACTCGACTACGACTTAAATTTCGCTCCCATCGGCCGACACACTAGTGTCAGAATCCTCGTCTACATCGCCGCCTACCGGAATTCCAGACTTTGACAAATCGACGTCGCAAATGCATTTTTATATGCACCCGTTGACGCTTTAATTCTGGTTGAGTACCCACATTCCTACGAAACTAATCCTCCCAGCATGTGCCGTCTCAGAAAATCTCTCTACGGCATCAAACAGGCTCCACGACTGTGGCAGCTATCTACATCGACAGCTGTTAACTGCTGGTTTTTGTCAACTTCCACACGACTAGGGAATGCACCTGCTTACAGATGGTACTGACTTTCTACTCGTCGCCTACGTCGACGACTTACTTTAAATCAGCACTACGGATTCTCTCGCTACTATCTTCGAACAGAAACTCCAACAGAATCTACAGATTACTATCGCTCCT